AGGCAAGTGCCACTGCCCTGGCCTTTTTTTTTTCAGTTGTAGTTGGACACAATACTTTTATTTCACTTATTTATTTTTATGTGGTGCTGAGGATCGAACCCAGGGTCTCTCTTATGGGAGGTTAGCGCTCTGCTGCTGAGCCACCACCCCAGCCCCTGCCCTGGGCTTTTTTTTTTTTGGACCATTAAAATTTTGAGATAGCAAGCCAGCCTCAGCAATTTAGCGAGGGCTTAGGCAACTTAGTGAGACCCTGCCTTAGGATGAAAAATACAAAAGGACAGGAATGTATCTCAGTGGTAAAGTACCCCTGGGTTCAATACCCAGTACCCCCCAAAAAATTTTTTTGAGATAAAATTCACAAACCATAAAATGTACCCTTTTAAAAAGTTTACAGTTCAGAGTTATGCATCCATCATCACTAATTCTAGATCATTTTCATCACCCCTAAAAAAATCCCCATACCCATTAATAATCACACCTTTACTCCCTTGCCTCTTTACTTGGAAACCACTAGTGCATTTTCTGTCTATAGATGTACCTATTATGGACATTTTACATAAGTGGAATCATACATTATTTGTCTTTTTGTGTTTGGTCTCTTTGACTTGGCATGTTTTCAAGGTTCATTCATTTGTATTTATCAGTACACAGTTCCTTTTTAATGACTGAATAATATTCCATTCAAGAGATAATACCACTGTTTTATTTATAATTAATCTGTAGATGGACATTTAGGTTGATTCTATTTTTGTGAATACTGCATGCATATTCATACAAGTTTTTGTATGAACATAATTTTTTTCCAATCTCCTGAGTACATACCTAGGAGTGGCATTAGTGGTTTATATATAGTAACTGTTAAAAGTTTTGAACACTGTCACAAATGGTTTTGCAAAGTAGCTGCACTGTTTTACATTCTCTCCATTAGTATATGAGGGTTCCAAATTCTCTATCTGGTCTCCAAATCTTCCTTGCTTTTCTTTATGGCCCCTATCACTGCCTGACATAACCTGTATTCATTTATTACTGTCTGGTTGTCCTATTAGACAGTGAGCTCTGAGAATTGGGGCTGGTATTATTCTCTGCTATAGCTCCAGCACCACATAGTACCTGCCATAGAGTAAAACACTCAACAAGAGTCTGTTGAATTTGTGAATAAAGTTCTGTAATCTTTTTAAATTTAATTACTTTCCCTGATTTTTAATTTAACCTTTATTACCCAAGTAAGAAATAGATACATTTTTCTTGTAAATAATTTAAAACATTGGGACAAAGCTAATCCCTTTGAACAGTAGTCATAATCCTATTGCCTCTTCTTCACTGTTAATCCTTTGCATGTGTCCTTCCTTGGTTTTTACATCTTTGTATGTAATAGAATTTAGAAAATAAGGAAAATACATAGTTTGGGTTTTTCTTAAAAAATAAATAATATGTAGGGATTATTTTATAACTTAATTGTTTACTCAACATGATGCCTTAGAGATCTTTCTGTGCCATTTATACATGTTAACCTACCTTTTTAAGAAAAAAAAAACTAAGAAACCTGTTGCCATATTTTGTGTAATGTGTATATCACAGGTTGGTGTTGGTTTTATTGTTTTGTTGGTGGTGGTTTGCACATGTGCTGGGTATCAAACTCAGAGCCTTGAGTGTGCTAGACAAATGTCTTCCACTGAGCTAACCCCTAGCCCCCTTTTATTACAGTTTTTAATCCATTGTTCTATTTTTAGAATCTCAGATATTTATAGTGTGACTGATTTTTGCAAAGCAGAGTTTTAAAACTTAATATCATAATATTGGGGGTCATGATACTGAAGTGTCCAGCCACAAAAAAAAAGGGAGGGCTTGGTATCAAAACAGAAACTTACAGTCCTGACTTTTTACACTGCAAGGAACAAAACTCAATTCCTCAGAAACTTATAATAAAACAAAATTCATTTTAATGTCTTGGTGGTTTGAAAGTGCCAAACTCTTGTTACAAATAGGGGGTTTTAATTCCTGGTTTTAGGACATTTTAGACACTTAAGGATTACCAGTGACAAAGTTGTCTTCCCTTCTATTCTGAGGTACTCGTTGAAGTAGCATCCCTCAGTCCTAACTCCCATAGCATATAATGAACCTGCTGCTTAGCATTGGTATTAACTTTTTAACTATCCCTACACTTACCTGGAGTATAAGCCCCTAAAGGAGGAAAAGACAGGGTCTTAGTTTTTTTGTTTGTTTGTTTGTTTTGTTTTGTTTTGTTTTGGTGCTGGGGATTAAACCCATAGGCAAGCACTGTACCAAATGATCTGTGTCCCCAGCCCCAGGGTCTTATTCCTGCCCCTGGTACTCAGTCACAATTATTTGATATTATATTTTATATTTCTCCATTTCTAACTACCCAATTCTAATAGTTTTTATCTTGATGTATACTCAGAGATATAAACTATTTTCATCTCATGTTTATGCTGTTACACATAACTTTTTATTTAAAATTCTGGTCAGAAAATTTAGGTTCATTGTTTAAAATAATTTCCAGGGGGTTGGGTAGGGGTTGGTGAGGACAACCTAAACCTCAAAACCTTTTTCTGCTTACTGTTTCACTTCCAGTAGATGGCACCAAATACTCTTTGAAATTCTTGATAATAGTTCTTAGTTGGTGTTGCTAATTGATGATCTGTTCTACCACCATAGAACAAAAAATGGTACATTTATTTTTTTAGTTTTATTCTCTGATGTTTATGTACACAATTTAGTAATTTTGTTTAGAGTTTTTAAGTTAGAATCATTGGTGTCTAAGTTACTTATTTGCTCTCTTCTGACTCAATTTCAAATTCCCAGGCCCCTCTTTAAAAGAAAAGCGCTTTTCAATCAGGGAGATTCTAGTGGGAAAAGTCATGATATTGAGAAATAGGACTGGGTTAAATATAAAAGTATATGTAAAATTAAAAATGATAAGGAAATCAAAATATTTCTAGTATATCAGGTTGGATACTTTAATAGGATTGAATTTTGTTGATTTTTTTTCAAATTTATTTTACAAATAACATGCACTTCAAAATACTCTGAGAAACTATTATGTACCCATTCTCATTTTCAACTTTCTGCCTTCATGAAAAGCTTTACTTTCAGTATGTTTTATTTAATTACTGTTTTCATAACTTTTTCTAATTAACCATTAAACCTAGAAAATGTGTTTCCTACATGTCAGTCTTGGTTTATTACATGTTTATCCTAATTAATTTGTTCAATTTTAATGGATTTATGGACCATTAAAAAAAAAAAAAACACTTTAAAAATTTCCCACCACAATTGTATTTACACATTTGTCTTTCTCTTTACCCAGGGCTTGAGTATCAGTGTTTTGTGACTCAGTCTGGAAATCTTTTTCTGCATGTCTTTAGTACAACTAACACCTGGGGATTAGTAGCCAGGGCTGTGGGTAAGACAAACCTAGGTTCAGCTCCCATCTCTGCAGCTGAATGGAGGATGAGGAAAATCATTTAGCCTAGCTGGGCCTGTCTCTTCATGTGCAAAATGTAGGTAATTAACACAACCTACCTCACGGGATTATATTGAGAATTAGAAATAACATATGTAATACAGTAAGCTATTACTATCACATATTGGCAACAATAATACATTTTATTAAAAAAAAAAAAAACATGCTTTACTCATTTCAACCTTGGGGACTCCCAACTTAAATAACTTTATTTCTAATTTTCAAATTGGAAATGTCAGTATGTGCAACAATGTACATTACTTGAGTCTCCAGAGAGCTTTCATTTAAAAAATCTGATGAGGTTTATGGAACAATCCTAAACTTTTGGTTTTTATACATAATATTATAGTAAGCATTTATATTGGTACCACTCCTCACACAAACACACCTTCCTGTAGCCTTCCTGTTTTTATCTAGAATTAAAAGGGAAGGGAAAACCTTAAAAGAGCGTTAGGCCAAAGAATCTTGGGGTTCAGCTTACTCAGCTTCAACTTTAATTTCTGAGCTCTTAAGACCCACTTGCGTGACAAGAGTAATTCTGCCACCACTCTCCCGGGGCAGGGCGGGGGAGGTAAGCGCCTTCGGAGAGAAATTCAATTCCGTGTACCGCAGCCGGATTCCAGCGCTTCCTGAGAATAGAAAAAACGCTGGGTGGCGTTTTACACAGGCCAGGCTTTTTCCTTCCAGCCCCTTAGTCACGTGGCGCCCTCTTGAGCCCCTGGCCCACCGGCCACTTGCTGGGTTGCTGATGAAGCTCTCCCTCCCGGGAGGATGCGCTGGGGGTTCACGGCTGCCGGATTCTGGAAAAGCCGGGGACCTCCGGGGTCACAGCCACCAGACCAAAGGCTCCGGTCCCGAACCCGAGCGGGGATGAGCTCCCAGGTGACGCGAGGTGCCAGCCTTCCATTCGAGGGACACTTGGCAGGTCCCCGAAGTTTTCCCCAGAGACAGGACTCGCAACAGGTCAGAGGCAGGACCAGGAGGGGTCGGGCGGAGCCTAACTCCGCCGCGGCCGGTGAATCAGCACCACCCAGCGCCGGGGCCAGCCATTTCCAGCCAATGCCAGACCTGAGGAGGAGTAGCGATGCCGCTGGCCACCAGCCACTCAGGGCTCACCGGACCTGGAGAAAGGTGACATCATCGTAGCTGGGAGGTGTCCGAAGGCTCCACCAATGGGAGGCAGGTGAAGTGGCTAGCCTTCTACAGCTCTTGGCCAATACTAACAAAGCAAAAGGGGGCCCGGTTGTCGGTGTAGAACCAATGGAAAACAGGGGAAAAGCACGAGGCGGAGTTGCGAATCCTGTCACCAATTGGAAAGAGGGGGGTGGAGCCCGGGCCTTGTCAAGCGTGACCAACCACCGAGAGGAGCGGACTTTGCGGGGCGGAGCTGTGGTGTCCTCTCCCAATCGCACAAGGCCAGGGGCGGGGTATTCTTTAGGGTGCCCAATGAGGAACGCAGCCGAAGCGGGCCTGTCAAGAGAAGGGGCTGGGGGCGGGGGGATGGTGAGTCGGGGATAAACACTCCGCGGCGGTGGCGGCTGCTGCTCTGCTCCGGGTTCTGTCACCGTGTCGGCGGTGCCCAGCTCACTGGCCCCCTCCCCCTCCCGGCGAGCGTGTTCGCCAGTGGCTCCTTCAGCCCTGCTCCGCGGGGTCCACAGCGGGGCGCGGGTGTCCGGCGGCCGCGGCGAGCCTGTGGGCAGTGGGGGTTGGTCCCGTGGCTCCGGCCCCCGGTGCAGAATGGCGGCGGCGGTTCGGATGAACATCCAGATGCTGCTGGAGGCGGCCGACTATCTGGAGCGGCGGGAGAGAGGTGCACGGGGACTGGGAGGCGTCTGGCCCGAGCCGGGGCCGGGGGTCCTGAGGGACGGGGCGGTGGGTCAGGGAGCCCAGCCTCTCCGGGGGTGGTTGGAGGCGCCGAGAGCGCGACCGCGAGCGCTCTCAACCCCTCCGGCTTTCCCCACGCGCGCTCTGAAAGGAGGCCTCTGCTGCCCCAAAAGCAATGAATGGGGGTGAGAAAGAAGCTGCTGTCACCCAGGTCCTGGGCGCAACCTCCTCCCCACCCCCTTGCGAGTAGGGTTGCCCAGAGCCTTCTCAGCCAGTCCCCTCTGATTTAACCTCACCTGCGCTGGTGCCCGCCAGCCCCCAAGTGGGCCGGCGCCCTGTCTCCCAAGCCGAGGAGCAGTGTCTCGCCTGGCCCCGGGTCGGGGTTCGCCCCGCACCTTCGCCTCAGGTTGCTCCCACTTAATCCACACCAACCTGCTGGACATTGCTAATGGGCGACCAAAGCTCGGCGAGCTTAAGCCACTTGCTGTGTCTTTCTCAACAATGAGCAACTGGAATCTTCTTTTACACCTGCTTGGAACTAAGGGTATTTACATAATTAAAAAAAAAAAATCATTGTTCTCAGAATTCCACCTTGCTCTGTTTAGTTATTTCCACAATATTCTTTTAAAGATAAATAAATAAATGAAAAGGGGGAAACTGTGAAAGGAATGGAGTATTAAATGTTCTAGGCTCATTCATTAACTGGATCCTCCGGTTTTCTAGAAGCTGAACATGGTTATGCCTCCATGTTACCATACAATAACAAGGACAGAGATGCCTTAAAACGGAGGAATAAATCCAAGAAGAATAACAGCAGTAGCAGGTAATTTGGTAAATATTTCTCTTTCTCATCTAGATTATACTGTAGGTGATATAAATGGCAGAATGTAAGTTGTCTGTTGTGATTATAACCCTGTAAATACATTAAGTGGTGATCATGATTCAGTACTGCACACATGGTCTTAAGACATTTGAGGAAGCAGCCCTTCAGTTTAAGTTGAGAGGACTGAAAAGAAAAAGAAAAATGTTTGCATTTCTTTATGAGCTATTTTAAATTTAAATTTTGCTTTTTTCCCCTTGCTGAACAAAAATTTGTGAAAGCTTTAAGTGAGATTAGCAATAATGTCAATATTTCACCTTCAGAAGTTGCAAGTTCAGAGCCAGTTTTCTATAGATCAAAATGCTGGACATTTTCACTTTCCTTTTCATAATGAAGATTTTATAAACATTAAGTATCACACAGTAGTTTGTCTGATAATCTAATTTTTCACATCTATTTATAATGGCAAAGATGAATGATTGAGGTTAAAGCCTACCTCTCTAGTGATGGAGGAACAAATAGTATTGAACTACTAATATGTTACCTTTTTGTGTTAGCCTCACAAATTGCCTTATAGTTCTTAAAAGCTATAAATTTCACTGGAAAGTATTTAATTAATGGTCAGTGAAATTGTATATTAAAGTCCTAAGCATAGTTCCTGGTACATATAAATACTCCATCATTCTTCTCACCACTTTTTCCTTCTCTTTTCCCTTAAAATATTATTTGGCTAGGAATTCTGTTTTATTAGATTCATTCAAGTTTACCTTTCTTGCTAGATTAAAATCATTGACATTTTCATCACTAATTTAGAATCCTTATCCTTCTCTCACTCTCATGAATAACTTGTTGCAAGTAACTATGTGGGTAGCCTCTGTGGCTTAATACAGACCATTTAAGGCTGGAAAGGCCCCACTTAAACCTAAAACTCACTTGTTCTTGTTGCCTAGTCTGGCCTTGGTTCACCCCTGGTCCTTAGTATTAGTAGAATCACAGGATGTGAGTAGCACCTTTGTGCCATGCTCTTGACTAAGATGCACATGAAGGATGAACCTGCTAATTACCTGGTGGATTTTCCTTGTCCTCCCATCTTAAATATAACCTGAAGGTTGTAGCCAATGATTCTGTGGATGGGCTAAAACCTTTTAGGAAGGATGTAAGTATTGACTTGGATTACACATGGTATCAAAACAACTAAGCTGTGTTGCATTTTGTTACAGTTTAAACTTTTAAATTTTTGTTTGAAAAAACTTTGAAACCTTTCAGTTTATTTTATTTTTTTTGAAAAAGCATAGTCTACTTTTGCTTTTATTGTCCATGTTATTAATGCTTAAATACCTTAACACTTTTTTTTTCCTAAGTTTCACAGAAAGATTGTGGGGGGATTTTCAGTAGTAGTGGAAAGTAGAAAAGAAGATGTTGTTGAAGATAAATGGCTTGGTCCAGAAAAGATGATTAGGAAAGAAAACTGATATTTGAGAATTTTAAACCAAGAAATGGATTCTTTTTAGTAACAAGCATTATTCCTACAAAGTGGCCACAATTTCTGATATTTAAAAAAAAAAAAAAAAAAAACTCATCTCTTCTATTAATGGGTTTGGTTTGCTTTCCATGTTTAGAGACAAAAGACTATCAGAGTTGTCCATGTATTTGACTAACAAGGAATTCATGTACTATATTAAGTGGCATATGGAGCTCTGAGGGACTATGATTTTACCTGGAGATGGCACCAAGCAAACATATGAAGCAAGAACAGGTAGTTTTATTTAAGTGCGATCACTTCTTTCATGACCTGTCAGAATGTCCCTTAGCTGAGGAGTAAGTCATCTCAACAGAGAAGACAGTTTGACTCCTTGGTTTGAATCAGCTTTATATTCAAGGCCACATATGATCAGGATTTTGAACTGAGATGAGGGCGGGGGAGAATATACTGCTAGTTTACAGAACAGTAGTTTATTCCTGGTTATTCAGGTTGAAATGCTGTGCTCTTTGCTTATAGAGTCTGAGGCAGTACTTGTCCTTGAACAACAAAAAAATAAGATTTAACTGTTATGTCAAACTTCTTGGGAACTGAAAATGCAGTTTATTTAAAAGCTGTTTGTAAAAAAAATGAAATTTGAATATTGATTGTTTGGGAACCATCCAAAAACTACTGGAATAGGGGAAGATGAAATATTTTTTTCCTTGCCCACTGATTTTTTAAATCAGTAATTATTTATAATTGAAATCTAGAGTTTATTATTGTTTTATTTTTTAAGAGACAAGATCTCACTAGGTTGCCTAGATTGGCCTCCTACTTACTCCTGGGTTTAAGCAATCTTCCGCCTCTAGAGTAGCTGGGATTATAGGCATGAGCCACCATTCCCAACTCTAGAGCTTTTCAAAATATGTTTTGTCACATTAGTAAAGTAGGTTTTAGCAGTCATGTGAAGAGGAAGTTCAGTTCTTTTATGACAGAGGCTGGCAGGTGCAGTGGCACACACCTGTAATCCTAGCAACTCAGGAGGCTAAGGCAGGAGGATCACAAGTTCAAGGACAGCCTTGGCAATTTAGAGATACCCTGCCTCAAAATAATAAGTAAAAAGGGCTAGGGATGTAGCTCAGTGGTAGGGTGCTCTTGGGCTCAATCCCCAATACCATAAAACAAACAAAAAAAAAAACCTGCTAAATAGCTGAACTGACAAGAAGAGTCTTTCTGAACCCAAGGACATTTCTCATTTTTCACACTGTAGTTTGACTTAGTTATCTTTTCATCTGAAATTTGACCTATATCAGTGATTCAAGAGTTACCAAATCTTCAATAATCACATGGAAAAGTTTTGACACGGGATACCTATGTATTCTTATAATGCTTTAATTAAAAATGTAAATGCATAACCATCAATAGGCAGCAAGCAATCTCTGAATCACTTTTGAAATGGTTACTTTTTATTAATAACTAACTCAGTTTTAGCAAATAAAATGCACTTCAGCAATGACCTAGCCATTAGGTAGACGTCTCCCTTTAAAAAGCACCATGTTTCGACACTCTTAAGTAATTAGGTAAAATTTGTAGTTTCCAAGACTCTGTTCAGAGTTTGGAAAGAGTTGTGCTTCTTATGTTGTTGGTTTTTTTTTTTTAAGTTTTTCTTGGAAATTCAATGTTATATAACTATATAAATCTCTCTCTATATATATACATCTCTTTAAAGAATCCAGAAATGTTGGATATGAGTACTGTGCAGGCTGCTATTTTCTACTCCCTTTTCAACCTATTCGACTTACTTTCCACCTACTTACTGATGGCCCTTGACCAGAGCTAAACAGGGAAATTTTAACCAGCTGTTGTCATTTACTTTCATATATTAAAAAAAAAAAAAAAAATCTGTTAAGTCTCCAATTTCTTATTCCCATTTAAAAGTAAAATGCCACATAATTTAAAGCCAAAGGTTTGCAACATACGCTGGGTTTCTTGGTAACTATGGTATCCTGCTGGTCATTGAAGGAAATAAACCTTAGAAAAATGTACCTAATGAATGGTGATGGATAGCCAAGTAAATCAATTGAAAACTTTAAGTTTTGAGGTCCATGTATCATTTACCTAGAAAGTAAATATTCTAAAGCTTAAAATACCATCGTTATCCTCATTTCTTTTTTCCTCATAAATGAAAATTCATCTCCCAAGGGCCTCATAGAAGAGAAATTTTAGTGCAGGCCTAGAAGTTTCCCATTTCAAGACAACACCCTTCGCTCACCCAGACACATATAATTTCACTGCCTCCCATCTGTGGTGCAGGTGAACTTGGTGGTGAAGTTCCCAATGTAAATGAGTAACTGCTCATCTTCAAGGTAATCTTCCTCCATGGTTGCTGGGAGACTTTATCTCCTAGACTCAGTAAGGCCACCAGTTATGGCCCCACAGAATCCAGGACCTGAGCTATGGCATAAACTCCTAAGCTGATTAGATTCCAGAAAATTTCAGTAAGAAATGTCAAGATTCAGCTCCTTTGTAAGGCTGGAGGTTGCCAAGTTCATAACTGGTTAGGAAGGCATTGGATGAGGACACTAAAGAGGGGCCACATTGACTGACTTCCTGTGACTTTGTGGAAACTTTTCCATAAAATCTTAAACTAGATCTAATCTTCAAAGTCAACTATTAACACACTAATAAATATAATTTTACACCCCCCCCACCTTTTATCCAAAGCTTTCTCATTAATTTTGCAGTTGTTACCTCACTGATCCATGCTTTTCAGTGGTTTATTGGCAATAATTTTTATTCCCATTTTACAGAAGAATTAATCAAGGATAGGATTATAAAAATTTTAAAATCGTCTATAGTACTGATCAGTGGCAAAACTGAACTTTGAATTCCACCCTAACTTCTGCTTTAACTAGCCAATTATCTCTGTGTTAAGCTGAGTTTTGGAAACCCCTCCCTAAAATCACTTGATAGCTATTCAACAGTAGCATCTTTCAGAAGGCTGTTAATTCATGGAGACAAAAGATTGGGGGAGGATTATTTTATTATTTAAAACTGTAAGCTATAGTCAAACAACTTAAATTAAATTTTGGTGTATGCTACCCCTAGAAAAACCTGCAGGGGTAGGGTGGGGGTGCCACCTCCTCTGTTTTACCCTAAAGAAAGCTTTGTGGTATTATATAATCCAAATTCACATTGCATTGCACTGCTGTTTTTCTCTTTGTATAAATAGACTCTTTTCTTTCCTTTCTTCAAAAGGATTACTTTTGTACCAGGAAATGTCACTGCTCCTTGAACTCTGTTATAGATATTTACATTTATCTAACTTCCCAAATGGACTAATTTCTTTGGAGCCCATGAATTTTTCTCCCTTTCTCTTTTATCTTACCAACTTTGGACAGAAAGAAGTTAAAATAATTGTTTTGATGTTGAAATTTAGTCCTTTAAGACAAGAATAATCTTATTGTTTCCTCTTTCAGATCAACTCACAATGAAATGGAGAAGAATAGGTGAGCTGGGGATTTGGGAGGTGGAATGTGGGGTGTTTTGATGCACTTTCTATTCAAGTTTTTGGTTGCTTTTATTTTTCTCTCTTCCTATTGGTGGCACCTGATTTAAGAGTTTACTCAGGGCCCTTTAAGCAGCATTGCTCATAAATCTTGAATGGATGAAGAGCTTGACAGTTCCAAAGACCATACCCTTGACCCGTCCCCAGCCCCAGAGGACTCCTGAGGAATAAATGTCTTTATGTAGTTATCCCGCAGACTATAGCATGTTAATTCCTAGGCCATATTTCTACAAATAACATTTTTAAAAATGTACATACTACTGAATATAATTGGCAATGCTGTCTTAAATCATGTATACACACATACACACTTGTGTATACATATATGTGTGTAAACTTGCAATTTAGTTGTGAATGAAGATTCTCAAAATTCAAGCAAATATGTGTATGGCGGAAATTTGGAGATAGTGACCAACAAGAGAAGGCCTGCTGCCCTCACTGGGCTCCATTGTGCCACAAGCCTGAGTTGATTCTCTTTCACCTTGATTGCCTCTTACTGTTTATTTAATTCTTTATTTTCCAAATGAAGTTGCCCATCCGTCAGTGACATAGCCTAGTGGTTCCCAACTCTGCTTGCATGTAACCATCATTTGCAATGCTTTTATTTTAACATTTTTAAAAATCTTTTCATGTTAAATACATCATATACATACACTTGTGTATTTTATGGGGGTAGAAAATAGATGTTTATTTCTTCTGATTCTATAAAATAACTTTTTATTATAGAAAATTTCAAATATACAAACGTAGAGTGAATAATGTAATCAAGTCTTGTGTCTCCACCACCAGTTTCAGTAATTATTAACATTTTTGCCAATCTTCTATAATCAAAACTATCCCTCTTCATGGAATATTGTAAAGCAGATTTTCTATTTCTAGTAAAGACTCTTTAAAAAAAATGATACTCGCTTTTTACTATGCTGAAAAACAATTAATGGCATTTTTTTGTGGAGCTTTAAAAAAAAAAAATGCCCAGACCTCATCCTTAGCAATTCTGACTTAATTGGTTTGGGTTGAGACTCTGTACTAGTATTTTTCAAAAGCTCCCCAGGCGATTCTCATGTGCAGCCAGGGCTGAGAACCATCGAGCAAGTCTTGTTCTAGTCTCTGAGCTCCCATCAACTTGAAATGTGGGCTACCCATCCAAATTGAATGGCTTTCTCAGTGCCCTGCATGAACAAGAAGATAATGTGTAACGATGGCTCTGTAAATACATGTGACTGTTTCATGCAAACCTTCTTTGAAAAAGGAGTCTGACTCTGAAAGTCAGGATCTGAATGATATTGATATTTTATCAGTAAAAGGGCAGACTAGACCCTTACCAGGGAAGATCTTGGAAAAGGATGAACATTTAGCCTTTCCTCACTGCAATATCTTCTATGTGTGTGTGCACACACACGCGTACAATGTTGGTTGAGTGCCTTAGTGTACATGTAATTTTTCCCCATCCCTTCTTCCCTCTTAGCTGTTCTGCGATTGTGACAGACCATGTTTCCTTTGTGCTTAGAACTTATACATTGTGGACTAGAAACTCAAAGGTATTATCTTTGGAAAGGTGGGCAGCTGTGGCTTTCCTTTCTCATCTTTAGATTTACTCCTTTCTTCTGCCTTTGCAGCAAACTGGGTAAACTGGGAGGGACTATTTCTGCTGAGAAGGCTTCTAGTTCTCCTTCTCTCCTCTAACCTTTTAATTAGGCATTTATTTGTACAATTACTAAAATTTCATCCTTTCAGGTAAAGACTCTTAGACTAGCTAGACCTCTTTGTGCCTTTTACCTCTGCAAGAATTCCACACAATGTTAAGGCATCATTTATTTTAGAAACTCAGGGGTGTTTATTTTCTGTCTACTTGTGGCCCAAGAGCTTGGGCTGTGTACTGGGTATTAGGTGAGTTCATACCAGGGCATCTAATCAGTGAGGTCCTCATCCCAGAGAAATGTGTGGTTTGTCTAAAGAGAAACATGCAGGGACTGTTTCAATGAATATGCTAAGTGATTGAAGTATGCACAGGACTCTGTGGAGGCAAAAATTCTAGAAAACTGGATTTGAAGTCATTATTGGGCTAGCTGCTTATAATTCAGATTGCTTCCATATGACCAATTTTTACTTGTGAAAGGATTAGTCTTCCCCCCCACCCTCCACTTTCCTTTCTTTTTGGAATTCGGTCCTATAAGGTCTTAATAATTATTTCACTGGTCTAGAGCATGTGAACAGAAGAGAAGAAAGTAAGGACTCAATTTACTTAATTTAACCAAGCATTGGTTGCTGCAGTTCAGGGAAGGAGTTTAAAATTGTCAGGCTTTTCTCCTTTGTTTGTGCAGATACTTAAGAGTTTTTTTGGGGGCTGGGATGTGGCTCAAGTGGTAGCACACTCGCCTGGCATGCGTGCGGCCCGGGTTTGATCCTCAGCACCACATACAAACAAAGACGATGTGTCTGCCGATAACTAAAAAATAAATATTAATCTCTCTTTAAAAAAATTTTTTAAAAAAAGAGTTTTTTAGTTTTAAGATCAAAGAGCTACTCTTATAATCTCCCTGGCTTTGGTAGCTGATGCCTATAAAGAATACTACTCTGCTAAATGCTAATACATGTTAGCCTTTTTTTACCTTAAAACAAAACAAAAGATTGTCAGGGCTCTCAAAAAATAAAAAGCAACTTATGATAAGAAGTTCTAAAATTAGGAAATTGTATAATTCACTGTACTTCTTCTTAGAAGCCTTTTCTGTGGGTGAGCCGATGTGGCTCAGTGGTAGAGCACCTTCCTAGAATGTGTGAGGGCCTGGGTTCAATCCCCAGTATTGCAAAAAAGTAGCTAGGTGAAACCTTTCTGTGGTACCTTAGAGGTTCTTAATAATTAGTGTTACTCTAGGTTATCAGGATCCACTATGAGGATATTAGATTCAACATTGTGACTTTTAAGTAACTTGGTATCGGTGGGAGGGTAAAAGAAGACATCTAGAATGGTGGCGATGGTATCTTCTACTCAGTAGAATAAGCATTGGTTATGTACCTACAGCCATGTAGTTGGCATTGGGAGTACTGAGCCCAGGAACGACCAAGGCCCTGCCATGGGGAGCTGTTTCCATATCACTCCAGCGAGGTCCTGTTTGTTGGCCCTGTTGTTGTCCCATGGCCTGCAGCATTGTAACTAATTGGGGAGTGGGGGTGAAACCTCCTAAGGAAACACCCTTGTGTTGGTATACATGGTGTTTCCTTTCCTTTTCTTTTTTGTTATTTAAACTCATCTTGTAAAAATATTTGAGAAATATAGAAAATAATACTAAAAACTAAAATTTTGTCAGAAATAAACTAAGATAACTTCAAAATATTTCTTTCCAATTATTTTGGAAAATAACTCTAAAAATATAGATTAGTGTAAAAAAATAAGAAAATTCAGAAAAGCACAAAGAACATAAAAATCATCTGTAATAGGCCTCTCAGGGATAACAACTGGTAACATTTGTTCCACATCCATCTAGATTTTTGTATATTTTTAAGATCAACATAGGATTATATATTAAATAATTGTAGTTTGTTTCTTTTCAAGTTACTTTATGGACATTTTCCATTGTCATTAAATCTCCATCTCCAGCATTACTTTTAGTAAATGCTCAGTATTATGTCATATGGTTGTGTCGTAACTCCTATAACCATTCCCCTAATGTAGGTTCTTCCCAGTGTTTTGTCAATGTAACTAATGCTTCCTCAAACTGACTTGTAGATACACCTCTGTTCAACATCATCTTTATTTCCATAGGACAAATTTGTAGCTGTGTAATTAATGGCATACAGGTTTTTATGATTTTAGATGTTGATTATTAGGTTGCCCACCAGGCAAATTACAGACAGTATTTTTCTTATGCCTTTACAGTTGATATTATAACTTAAGACTTTTATCAGTTTGATAAGTCAAAAACAACAGCAACAAAAAACACACAAAGGCAATTTGTTTTAATTTGCATTTCTTGTATTACTAGCACAGTTGAAGAATTTTCATGTGTGTGTGAGTATGTGTTGCTGTTAAATAACCTTTGTCTAATTTTATATACTATAGAGTTTATCCCTCCCTCCCTCCCTCCCTCTCCCCCCCCCTCTTCTTTTTGCAGTACTGGGGATTAAACCCAAGACCTCACACATGTTAGGCCATTGTTCTATGACTGAGCTACATCCCCTGCCCAACTCTTTTTATTTTAAAAAGATTCAATAATGTAAAGGATATATATAGAAGATATCACCCCTTTTTTAATTCACATAATTGTCCAGTTTGTCATTTACCTTCAGGAAATCGGTCTCCTCTCACTGATTGAAGTTGATGCCTCTGGTGTATACTTAACTGCTGTGTGTGCCCAAGTCTGTCCCTAGACTTGTTCTTGTAGTCCACTGATTCATTGATCCATCTCTTTTTCCTTGCCTTTATAAAAGTATTTTTAATCATTGAGGTTCCATTATTTATTTCAGAGTCTAGTAAAGCAAATCTCTTCTTGCTTTCATTTTCCTTCCTTTTTTAATTTTTCCATTTTTTTTTACCAGTTTATTTTTTCCGACAAATTTTTAACCAAACTGTCAGTTCCCATCCCCCAAATTCTTTGAGGATTTAAAAAAATCAAAATCACACAGTTCCAATATAAATTAATCTTTAAAAAGTTTATGTTTACATATTAGGTCTTTCCACTCAGGCTTTGGTGTGAGTCTTAATTTATTCAGACCTCTTTACCATGTCCAAGTAAAGTTTTGCATTGTTTCCTTGTAGGTCATCCACATTTCTTGCAAAAGCTAATTCCGAGTTTATATGTTTTTATATTGCTGTTGGGTTCCCATTGAAGTTAACTAATCAATTCTTGTTTGAGTATAGGAAATCTTTTAACCTTTAGTTGTTCTGTCCTGTTTATTGATGATAATTCTTCTGTTTCTTTCTCTTAGCTTTGAATTACTCTGCTC